TCTTCTGCATATCACTGTTGAACTAGCTTGAACCAGTCTGATCATTCTCCTCTGACCTCTATCATTATCAAGGTGTTTTCACCAAAGAACTGCTGCTTACTGGATGTGTTGTGCTTTTCAGACCATGCTCTGTAAACTCTAGAGACTGTTATGTATGAATATCCAGGATATCAGCGATTTCTGAGATACTCAAACCATCCCGTCTGGCACCAACAATCATTCCACCGTCAGAGTCGCTAAGATCACATTTCTTCCCCATTCTTATGTTCAATCTGAACAGCAGTTGAACCTCTTGACCATGTCTGCATGCTTTTAGGCACTGAGGTATATTAATGCATCTACGAAACACGTGGGTATAAAGAAAATAACAATATTGTGACTAGGAGGGGACTGAACGCGAAATATTTAACCAGCCTCTCGAGACGCAAGGTAAATTTTTCCATGTCTTAGTCGCAATGCTACGAGCATCAGATGTCTGGTAAGTACACTGAACATACCACTCCTGACCCGAGCACATTTGTGGCTGTGGATAGCTACAGGAACTGTTTTCATTCTTCTCCTGCGTGGGATATATATATATATATATATATATATATATATATATATATATATATATATATATATATATATATATATGTCGTGCCGAATATGTAAAACTGGTCAATTAGCAAGAACTCATTTAAAATTAAGTCCTTTCTGAAATTTTCTTTTATACGTTTAAAGGTAACAAATTTTCATTGATGTTAATGTAAACTTTTTTAATTTTACACCAAAAGAATCTTAGAAAACTTACCTAACCTTATTACAACAAGAACAATTTATTTTGGGCTAACCAAACTAAATATATTTTAGATTTGTTTACAGTAATTTAATACTAAACAAACGCAGTGAAATATATTTTTTTCGTTAGGTTCAGAATGATTTTGGCGAAATTTTTGCATACACAAATTTTCACTTGTCCTATATGGCAAGATGAGCGTTGCTATTTAAGCCAAGATCGCAAGTTCTGCCTATTCGGCACGACATATATATATATAATATATATATATATATATATATATATATATATATATATATATTATATATATATATATATGGCACCTCTGCCAGAGAGAGGCTGTGGGCATCTCGCTCTGTGATTTTGGCACAATATCGTCCAATCAAGAACACCTGCCAGGATTATCATCAACAGACTGGTGTGTGAATATCTGCTGGTCGTGTTGGAAAGGGCCAGAAGACTCCGCATTTCGTCTATTCCGTCAGAATCAAGAAAAGTTCTGTGTTTGTGAATTCAGTGAGGGAACATAACGGTCACCTATGGGTAGGAGAGGTCGGTGAGGGGAGGCCTAATGGAGGGGGAGGAGGCGGAGGTTGAGGGGTAAAACAGTCCCCCCCCTTCCCCAAACAGGCGCGCATACACCGTGTGCTCGTGTTACAACAATGGTGTGTTTGTTCACCGTGTGTATAGTGTATATATTCTATAGTGTACAGTGCATAGTATGTGCATGGTATGCGCATAGCATGTGAAGTGTATAGCGGTGTGTCGTTGATAGTGGGGGCAGTGCACTGAGCATAGTGGTGTATAGTAACATGTGCACTGAGCATCGTGGTGTATAGTGACTTGTCCTGGGAGGGAGTGAGTGCCCTACTCCGCCTCAGCACACATCTTCCACCGCCCACCACAGGGACTGGACACCCCTCTCCTCCCCCCCCCCCCCCACCACAACCACCATGAACCACATGCGGAATGTGCCATGCGCCATTTTCCCTTCAGCTTGGGCTTATCACACAGTTTGAGGTATGGCAGACGATGAAGCCAGCCAGCCACAAAGCCAGGGAAACAATGCACCCAACAATGAAAGAAGAGGCACATGTCAGGTGTGTGGAGAGTTTCGAGCACGCAACAGGGACGGCCGTATTCGTGCACACAATAGGTGTGCGGGATCACATATGCCCCCAGCAGAGAGCAGCCCACAGCCTCCACAGGCAGATGACAATTCCAATGGCAACCTCGTCACTTGCGATAACCTTCTGTTGGCATTCAAATCCACTGCTAGCAGTAACACTATCCCACATCCCTAAAGCAGCTCGCCCATATGCAGCAGGGAAATTCACAGACCTTCTTAAGCGGGTGAATGGAGGTTCCACTAACTTAGAAGCCCGAGGCACCATCCAAGCATGGCGCAACCTTCTCTTGTTCGGCAATGTCTGTCTTGCAGTTCCTGAAAGACGAGGCAAACTGCTAACCACGTCAGTTTATCAAGGCAGTGCGCAACTACCCAAGAACGGATAACTGTGTCCCCCTGCCCCATCATCGCAGGAATCAAAGAGGCAGACCCAAGAAAAGTCCTACTGAGAACGAGAAAATTTGCGCACAGGTTAGCAAAAAAATTGAGGAAGGTAACACAGTGGGAGCAATAAGAATAATTACAAGTGACGACACTGTAGCCCCCAAGGATGAGACCACGGCCCAAGCACTAAGAGACAAGCATCCAACAGGGACACCACAGCCATCAACGACAACCCTGAGGAAGACCCTATCACTGAACAATTAATTTTGCCAGAATCGGAAGTCTATAAGGCGATCGTGTCATTTCCAGCAGGATCTGCAGGAGGTTACACTGGAATTCGACCTCAGCACCTCAAAGAGATGGTAAATCCAGTACTCGGTGAATCTGCATCAATTCTTCTCACCGAGTTAACAACTTTCGTCAACAATTGCCTGGCTGGGCGAATCCCAGAAGAAATTAAACCTTTCTTTTTTTGGAGCCTCACTATGTGCTTTGAAGAAGAGGGATGGGGGAATCAGACCCATTGCAGTTGGAAACACTCTCGCGCCGTCTCGTTGCCAAAGCAGCAGTGAGAAACATTCGCCTAGAAGCTGCCACTTTACTCCAGCCACACCAACTGGGCTTTGGGGTCTCTCAAGGCAGTGAAGCTGCAGCTCATGCGGCAAGGGCCTACATCAGGGACCTACCAGAAGACAAGGCCATAGTCAAACTGATTTTAGAAATGCCTTTAATATGGTGAGGAGAGATGCTGTTTTGCCAGCTGTCGGGTTCGGTTCCCCAGTCTCTTTCCTTCATTTCAGCCGGCTACAGCAAACCCTCAATTCTTTTGTTTGGAGAACATGAAATTCAATCATCAGAGGGTGTTCAGCAGGGTGACCCACTTGCTCCACTTCTTTCTGCTTGGCAGTAAGAGAACTAACTTCCAGCCTTCGCAGTGAGCTCAATATCTGGTACCTGGATGATGGCACTCTGGCAGGTACTGAAGAGTCCCATCGTGGGGGACCTACAACTGGTGAAAACACAGGGAGAAGGCTTGGGACTCATCCTCAATCCCTCTAAGTGTGAAATCATCACAGCGAACCAGGAAATAATCAATGCTGTTCGAAGAATCCTCCCGGAAATCTCAACTACAACTCCGTCCAACAGTACCCTCTTGGGGGCACCGCTGGGTCACCAGGCCATCGATACTGTCCTCAGGGACAAAATGAATGACCTTATGAGAATGGAGGAGAGAATAAGCAATCTTGATGCCCATGATGCTCTGTATCTCCTCACAAGGTGTCTTACTATGCCAAGACTCACTTACTTCTTGAGGTGTGCACCCTCTTTTGACAACCCAACACTTGATGAATATGATGCACACCTGAGATCAACCTTTTAAGAAGGCACTGAACCTGTCACCTAGAGGATGAGCAATGGGATCAGGCAACCCTCCCAGTGCGACTGGGAGGTATAGGGGTGCGTAAAGCAACGCATGTTGCTTTACCTGCTTTTCTGTCTTCGTGTTTGGCTTCCAGTGCATTAGTCAAGAAGATAGTGGCCCGAACGCTTGAGAGACTTGGTAGGAGCTCAAGACCCCAGGTTTACTGAAGCAGCAATTCGGTGGACACCCTTACAGACTCCTCCAGTAGACCAGCTCCTCCCAAACAGCACAACAGTCCCACTGGGACAAACCGATCATGGAAAAAATCGCCAACACAATGCTCTCCAATGCTTCAGGAAAGAACAAAGCTCGTCTCCTGGCAGTGAAGGCACAACACTCAGGAGATTTCCTGTTAGCTGTTCCCAATTCCTCCCTGGGCACCCGTCTCGACCCACAGGCCATTCGGATTGGTGTTGCTCTTCGCCTAGCCGCCCCCATCCTCACCGAACATAGTGTATTTGCGGCAGGGCGACAGCTGATCAATTCGGACTCCATGGTCTCGTGTGCCACACAGCAGAAGGGAGTATGCCAGACATGAGGAGATCAATGACATAATAAAGAGAAGCCTCGCCACAGCCCGTTGCCCAGCTCAACGGGAACCCCAAGTACAGAGGTCTGATGGAAGTCAAAAGCGTCCTGATGGAGCCACTATGCTACCCTGGAAGGTGGAAAGCAGATTGCCTGGGACTACACCTGTGCTGCCACATTGGCAGACACCTACTTGCCATACTCTGTAGTGGAAGGGGGTGGAGCTGCCAGCCACAGGGAGACCCAGAAGATCCGAAAATATGAAGACCTTCCCCCTTGCTATAACTTCATTCCAATAGGGTCGGAGACCCTTGGAGCATGGGGCAAGTGTGCTCTAAAGTTCCTCAAAGAGCTGGGTGAAAAGCTCATCATAGAAACCAAGGACCACAGGGCGACCAGCTTCCTCTTTCAGAGACTCAGTGTTGCGATCCAGAGAGGAAATGCCTGCAGCATTCTGGGCACGCGGCCCACCGCAGGGGAGCTGACGAAGTATTCGAGATGTAGCTCTGAGTTACCTATGTTGTTTTTACTTTGTATCATATTTTTGTGAATGTTTTGTCAATGTATTTTTGTCTTTAAATAAAATATATATACATAATATATATATATATATATATATATATATATATATATATATATATATATATATATATATATTTATATATATATATATATGTATATATATATATATATATGATATAGTCCTGGAATGTGGAAAACGTCGCATGTTAAAGTAGCCGCCGCATACTATGTGAAGCTGTTACGTAATAAAATAAGAAAATATGTGAAATATATGTACAGAAGATGTACAGTAACCATCACTCTGGCTACCTGTCTCTCAAGGGGGGAGGGGGTGTCTTGATGCTGGTAAAGGGCTCTTGATATGAGGAATTGGAGCTTTTCTCCCCCTCCTCGGATCTAAATGGCTCAGTGATCACTGGAACACAGCATAGAGACCCAGACTGAGAGATGTTAAGCATGTATCCTTATACTAGATGGTATAGCAGTATCAGTATTGACGAAAATTAGATGATGGTTGCTGATCTGATTCATCAAACTGTTAGTGGCAGCCGTCCGCACCTGAACGCATGCATCACAACCCGGCTGATCAGGAACTGGTTTGAAGACCAAAGAACCACAATGGAAATAAACCACAATGACTTTCTTCAGTTAGTCTGGCTTACAAACACTCACTTAATAATCCGAATAAAAACTTCTGGCCCAGGCGGTGTTATATATAATAATGGAAGAGCTAAATCCGTAGGGGCCAGGAGCTATGAATAGGTAGTACAACGCTTAGGAAATGAGGTAATAAGGTTCCAGCTGTTTTAGTATGTCAGTTACTCCAGTGTTAATCCCCTCAAGGAAGGTTCCTTGATGTTGGTGAGGGGCTCTTGATTTAGGGAATTGGATCTGTGCTCCAGTTCCCCGAATTAAGCCTGTATGCCTTCCACATCCCCCCCCCCCAGGCGCTGTATAATCCTCCGGGTTTAGCGCTTCCCTCTTGATTATAATAATAATCCAGTGTTAATTGTATCCTGTACTTTTAGTATTTTCAGCTAACATTTCGCAATGTATTATGTGCTGGAATTAAACATAAATTATTATCATGTTTAAAGTGTTCTGCTTAGGAGTTCCAAAAATATTTTAAAGAGTTAATGTAAGCTATACAAAGAGACTCTTGTTATTGGAACATAATAAAGACCTTGCTGAGTGTCTTGTGGAACTCGCAACTTGACGGTAATTTCTATGTGAATGTGAAATTGGAGGTCTTTATCATGTGTAAATTGTGTTTACACTATCTATTTGTTATATATATATATAAAATATATATATATATATATATATATATATATATATATATATATATATATATGTATATATATAAAATATATATAATATATCTTAAGCCATTCGTGATTTTGTTCTGCTGTGGTGGTCTCGTATATTTGTATGACAGGTCTAGCTGACATCAATGACACTATACAAAGTCCCTTGTTATGCAGAGCATGTCAGGCAAGTTAAGTCACTTTTGTCCCAGGATGCGACCCACACCAGTCTACTAACACCCAGGTACCCATTTTACTGCTAGGTGAACATGGACAGCAGGTGTCTTAAGGAAACCTATCCTAATGTTTCCTTAAGGTACCTACTGTCCATGTTCATCCATCAGTGTTAGTGGATGTTAGTCGACTGGTGTGCGTCGCATCCTGGGGATAACTACACATATGATGCTATGTATGATAATCTATGTAACTATTTATGTGTACCTGTACCTGAATAAAAACCACCGGTGGCCTGTGGTTAAATCAAATCAAAGTTTATTCTCTATAAGGATTACAATGGTTATTGTGTCGTTTACATGTAATAAAATACTAATTACAGAGGGGGCCACCAGAACACCTAGCAAGGCTAGGCATTTTGGGCAAACTTAGATTAATTTTTAACCCTAAATTATTACAAATTGTGGAGTAAGTGAAGCTCTCGCTTCACACACGGAGGGCTTGGGTTCAATTCCCGGCAGGTGGAAACATTTTGACGCGTTTCCTTACACTTCTTGTCCTGTTCACCTAGCAGCAAATAGGTACCTGGGTGTTAGTTGACTGGTGTGGGTCGCATCCTGGGGAACAAGATTGAAGACCCCAATGGAAATAAGTTACAGTCCTCGATGACACACTGACTTTCTTGGGTTATCCTGGGTGAAATCTTATCTGTTTTATCTACTTAGCTAGGCCTGTATACATTGTACATGTAGAAATAAATATTTATTATTACTTACATGCAAAGAGTTTAATTCCTTCCTCAGGGGTTAAAGTATTCTTAACTGGTGTTCAACAGGTTAAGGGCAGCCTTAGTGACCCTCGTGTAGTTGACAGGCTTAAAACCCCAGTGACCAACTTTGACCATTATTTCTTACAAAAATTAGTAAGTAAATTTATTTAGGCACAGGTACACGTAAGTACAGTTATACGTAGATTACCTAGAATAACCAAAAAAGTCAGACAGAGACTTATTTCCATTGGGGATTTATTTCCATTGCTTTTCTAACCCAGGGTAGGGAGGGTTAGCCCAGGATAACTGAATAAAGTCAATGAGTCGTTAAGGACTATCTGTCTTATTTCCATTATGGTCCTTTAGTCTTGTCCCCCAGGATGCAACCTACACCAGTCAACTAACACCCAAATACCTGCTTACTGCTAAGTCAGCAGAGACAGCAGGTATAAGGAAGCATGCTCAATGTTTCCACCCGTGACCAGGATTGAACCCAGACACTCACTGTGTGAACTGAGTGCACTATCAGCTGTATCTTGATGCTGGTGAAGGGTTCTTTAATCATGGATTTGTACCTATCCTCTACTTGCACTGAACCTGATTACTTCCCATTTCCTTGTATATCTCCTACAATCTTATCACTTCCTCCTGATTATTATTATAATAGTTGCTTGTTTGGAATCATATGGTATTGTAGGTTAAATATTGCTAACACACCACTGCCAGACAATTGAGTATTTACACGTGTGTGTACGAGAGACTACCTGAAGTTCCTGTTCTTAAAGATTAAAGTATTTGTATGTTAAGTATACATTTAGCTTGTTAGTTGTGTATTCAGCATATACAAATGAACCAGAAGTCATAAGACACCAAAGTAGAAAATTTTCTTTGGATTATTAACCTGATGGATTAATGAACCTAGATAACCTAGTAAAGCCAAATGGCATAACCATGCTTACCATCTCCTAAACTAGTGGCACTCATACAGTGTATAGTTTAGCATAGATTTGAAAGCAAATTATTTATTTACCTTTAAATAACGTTTTTGATAATATTTTATTCATAGTAATTATTTGAAAACTTGCAGAGTGGGCTGTGACAGACTTGCATTTGCCTGTGCTGCTTGTGCTCGGTTCTTTCCAGGTCTGCAAGACTACACATTCACATGCACTTTCCTTGGAACATTGGCTCTATGCACAAATAAGACTCAGGTATGGAGAATATACAGCATCACAGGCCATTGCAGTGATAGAGAATTTGTCAGTCAGACCTTTCAGTAGATGGTTGGGTTATCACAGGGACAGGATGGGTATGGGGTGCATAATAAACATATTAAACTAACACAGGGACAGCCTCACCCTTTTGTCAAGAAGATTGACAACCATATTTGCAATTTATTTTTCTTTTTATTCATGTCTTACAGTTAATAGCTTGGTATTTGTATTATTTTTATCTGGCAAATTTGTGACTGGTGGTTGTGTGCTGTATTTGGATAAGCATTTGCCAGAAAAGTGTTTAATGGACAGTATATTAAATATGTAATTTAATCTCCAAGTAAGACAAGGTTCCTGGTGACTAATCAACTTATATAGTGCGTATTGATGTCAGGGAGTAATGAACAAGTTCTATATACATTACTGTGTAATGGATGTAAGTTAAAAGTACCATGTATGATAGGGAATTTTGATCATATTTGAAAGGCAGAAGTATGAAGCATTTAATTATGCTTCAGACTGCTCCATCCAGTCTTGGCCTGTGAGAGTGAAAGACATAAAATGAGACAAATGTAAAGTTCAGACTATTGATGGGTAAACATGTATCATGTACTTGTAAAAATAAAGATAATTATTATTAAGGGAGAGGGGTTTGTATTATGATGGTCCAGCCAGAATTGTCTGAGTGTCACTGACAGTCTTCTTTGCCCTCGTAGCTGATAGTAAGAAACCTGCTTAATTACTGATAATGATTTGATCTATATGAAGACTGTATATAACAAGTTTCACTTGTATGAGGCTTAGTGACCTTTATTTCACAGTACTAGGCAACATATTTTGGGGTAATTCCTGTTGGGAAAAATGTTCACCTTATAAGGAAGAATATACATGGTACTGTATGTCTTTAAATTTGGCTGAAATTCTCAATTTTTAACAGCCAACCAGGCTCTTAATTGCATGAGTTGTACTGTATGCTAATTAGTAGTCTATTATTATTGAAAGCATATTATCAACTGATGGCATCAGCCATACTGTACTTGTATACCATGTACTGTACTGGTGAAACTGCCAAATACTAATAGCAGGGATGGAAGTGAGTGTACATGGTTACACAGTGTGTACCTATCTACACCCATTTTTCAGAGTTAGCTATGATTTTAATTACTCTTATGATAAAAATTGATTACTAAATTGTATTTTATGTTGTTATAATTAGTGATGTAAATGGGGAATGATGTATGCAGGTACATGGCTATGTACCTACTACTGTACTCAGTTTTGCAAATGTGTACTTACTTTTTAAAACTCATTTCCATCATGGATTTAAAGCATTATAGGCAGTGATAACAATAGAGTAGGGCCCTGCTTTACGGAGTTCCGCTAATACGGCGATTTCAAATTAGGACCAAAACTCGCTATACAGCAACCTGCCTTTCTAATACTGTGCGCACCATCCGGTTTGTTTACATTTTCCGTGAGCACATCTATTATGTCTGGAAACTTTTCAAAATTTCAAGTGTTTTAAAGTTATTGCATATTTTATATGTGCTCTGATAATAATAATTGTGTACCTGTACCTAAATATACTTACACACTGTGCTGGCGTGCAGGTACACATTAAAATCACTAAGAGTGTCCCTCTAGTCTTAATGCCATAGTAATACTAATGGTAAGTAATAATCACTCTTATTTTACATTAATATAGACATTTTCATTAATCCATCTATGATGTTTTCTTCAAAATTATGTAAGAAACACATTACATACCATATAAACATGCTATGTTTATATGCTGTGGAGGTGTGGTTGCCAGTCAGAGGGAAAACATTACGTATTACTAATAGTATGTAATAATAATCACTCTTGGGCACATTAAATGTCTTATTTTACAGTAATATAGACATTTTCATTAATCCATCTATGATATTTTCTTCAAAATTATGTAAGAAACACGTTACATAGCATATAAACATGCTATGTTTATGTGCTATGGAGGTGTGGTAGCTGGGCAGAGGGAAAACGTTACATTTTCTCTGGTCCAGCACCAGAGAAAATGTGTACGAATCTGCGTTTGGCCTTGTCGCTTCCCCCTTATCACTCTGCTTTTTTTTACAATTCTTGGCATGAATTATTCATTACTTCTACCTTCATTTGTGATAGCATCTAAAGGTAATTGTTAGAAACGATTAAATTCAGTGAACAAGGTATGTCGATGGTAATAATATGGCTCTGGGCCGCGGTGTAGGTAGCTGGTAGATGTAGCCCAGGCTGGCTACATGTACTGGCTACCTACACTGACTTCCTACACATAAATACTACTCAGCTCTCATCCAACATTAAGACTACACATTTTAAGGTAAATAATAAGTGTACTGCTGTGTATTTTATCTCTCTGGGCTGTTTTAAATATCGTATATTAAGTTTGGGATGGGAGACAGGGCTGCCTACATCTGACTTCCTACAAAAAAGTTCTACTCGCCTCTCACCCAACATTAATAAGACTACAAATATTTTAAGGTAAGTAATGAATGTATTGTGTTTTTAGTATCTAGTTCTATTACTAACTTAATATAAGTTAGTGTAAACTTGTTGTCTGGCATTTATATGCATTTACAAATAGAAAATCGTGTTCTGCTTTCCGGCGATAGCCTGGAACCTAACCTGCCGTATAAGTGGGGCCCTACTGTATGTTTGAGCATAAATAAATTTTTCATATTAGTACTGTATTTGGAAAGGAAAACACTTAGCCAGTTTTGGTAAAGGTTCATGATATTTATTTCGCTAATTCAGTTATAATTTTCCACCTTAACCCTTAAGCTGCCTGTGACGTAAATTTATGCCAGAATTCATGGGCCTCCGAAATGGTCCCAATTCAAATTCAAATTTTTATTTCTCTTATGCTGTACAAAGATAATGTAGTTTACATGTAATAAAACATTGTTAGGCACAAAAGAAAGCCACTAGCATGCAAATTCATTTCGGGCAAACTAATTCTAATGCTTACAGCCTCTTAAGAATTAGACATAAGAGAATTAAATAAAAATTTTTTTTTTTCAGTTACTTACAATTATATGCACAATAAGAAAGGTACCTAAAATGAGCAATTGTGCAATTTTTAAAAGTATGAGTCATTATGTATTTCAGTCTGATTCGATGATCTTCAGTTAAGTAGGATTTCTTAAGCATTAAACTACAATAATTATATGCACAATAAGAACGGTAGCTAATGTCCGAAAGGTACAGTTTTAAATGTTTTTATTATTTTTTTTTTATTATCACACTGGCCGATTCCCACCAAGGCAGGGTGGCCCGAAAAAGAAAAACTTTCACCATCATTCACTCCATCACTGTCTTGCCAGAAGGGTGCTTTACACTACAGTTTTAAATGTTTTTTATTTATTATCACACCGGCCGATTCCCACCAAGGCAGGGTGGCCCGAAAAAGAAAAACTTTCACCATCATTCACTCCATCACTGTCTTGCCAGAAGGGTGCTTTACACTACAGTTTTTAAACTGCAACATTAACACCCCTCCTTCAGAGTGCAGGCACTGTACTTCCCATCTCCAGGACTCAAGTCCGGCCTGCCGGTTTCCCTGAATCCCTTCATAAATGTTACTTTGCTCACACTCCAACAGCACGTCAAGTATTAAAAAACCATTTGTCTCCATTCACTCCTATCAAACACGCTCACTGCATGCCTGCTGGAAGTCCAAGCCCCCCCGCACACAAAACCTCCTTTACCCCCTCCCTCCAACCCTTCCTAGGCCGACCCCTACCCCGCCTTCCTTCCACTACAGACTGATACACTCTTGAAGTCATTCTGTTTCGCTCCATTCTCTCTACATGTCCGAACCACCTCAACAACCCTTCCTCAGCCCTCTGGACAACAGTTTTGGTAATCCCCGCACCTCCTCCTAACTTCCAAACTACGAATTCTCTGCATTATATTCACACCACACATTGCCCTCAGACATGACATCTCCACTGCCTCCAGCCTTCTCCTCGCTGCAACATTCATCACCCACGCTTCACACCCATATAAGAGCGTTGGTAAAACTATACTCTCATACATTCCCCTCTTTGCCTCCAAGGACAAAGTTCTTTGTCTCCACAGACTCCTAAGTGCACCACTCACTCTTTTTCCCTCATCAATTCTATGATTCACCTCATCTTTCATAGACCCATCCGCTGACACGTCCACTCCCAAATATCTGAATACGTTCACCTCCTCCATACTCTCCCTCCAATCTGATATTCAATCTTTCATCACCTAATCTTTTGTTATCCTCATAACCTTACTCTTTCCTGTATTCACCTTTAATTTTCTTCTTTTGCACACCCTACCAAATTCATCCACCAATCTCTGCAACTTCTCTTCAGAATCTCCCAAGAGCACAGTGTCATCAGCAAAGAGCAGCTGTGACAACTCCCACTTGTGTGTGATTCTTTATCTTTAACTCCACCCCTCTTCCCAAGCCCCTCGCATTTACTTCTCTTACAACCCCATCATAAAAATTTTAAAACAACCAGGGTGACATCACCATCCTTGTCAAAGGGCCCTATTTTTACGGGGAAAAAAATTTTCCCCCTCTTTTCCACATACCTAATTTGAGCCCACTATCCCAAAACTCTTCACTGCTTTCAGAACCTCCCTCCTACACCATACACTTGCAACATCTGCCACATTCCCCCCCTATCCACCCTGTCAACGCCTTTTCCAAATCCAAAAAATCCACAAAGACCTCTTTAGCCTTATCAAATACTGTTCACTTATATGTTTTCACTTAAACACCTGTCCACACACCCCTACCCTTTCCCAAAGCTCCTTGTTCATCTCATCCTATCTCCGCTTACTCTTAATTCTTTCAATATAACTCAACCATAACTTTACCAGGTACACTCAACAGACATCCCCCTATAATTTTTGCCTCTCTTTTACCCCTTTCCTTTTTTACAAAGGGGAAAATGCAGCCTCTCCCAAACCCAGGACCTTACCCTCTTCCATACATTTATTAAATAATTGCCCAACCACTCCAAAAATAATCCCCCCCTGCTTTTAACATTTCTATCCTTATCCCATCAAACCCCCCGGGTCCTTACCCCCTTTCATTTACCTACTGCCTCACAACTTCCCCCACACTCACAACTGCTCTTCCCCATCCTACAAGATGTTATTCCTCCTTGCCCTATACACGAAATCACAGCTTCCCTATCTTCATCAACATTTAACAATTCTCAAAATTTTCCTTCCATCTTCCCAATACCTCTAACTCTCCATTAATAACTCTCCTCCCCTATTTTTAACTGACAAATCCATTTGTTTCTCTAGGCTTTCTTAACTTGTTAATCTCACTCCAAAACTTTTTCTTATTTTCAAAAAAAATTTGTTGATAACTCTCACCCCACTCTCTCATTTGCTCTTTTTTTACATTGCTTCACCCCCTCTCTTAATTTCTCTCTTTTTCTCCAATACTCTTCCCTCCTTGCATCACTTCTACTTTGTAAAAACTTCTCATATGCTAACTTTTTCTCCTTACTACTCTCTTTACATCATCATTCCACCAATCTCTCCTTTTCCCCCCGGGACCCACTTTCCTGTAACCACAAACTTCTGCTGAAAAACTCTAACACTACATTTTTAAACCTACCCCATACCTCTTCGACCCCTTTGCCTATGCTCTCATTTAGCCCATCTATCCCCCCAATAGCTGTTTATATCTTACCCTAACTGCCCCTCTTTTAGTTTATAAACCTTCACCTCTCTCTTCCCTGATGCTTCTATTCTCCTTGTATCCCATCTACCTTTTTTACTCTCAGTGTAGCTACAACTAGAAAAGTGATCTGATATATCTGTGGCCCCCTCTATAAACAGTACATCCTAAAGTCTACTCAACAGTATTTTATCTACCAATTACAAATCCAACAAACTACTGTCATTTCGCCTACATCATATCGTGTATTACTTATTTATCCTCTTTTTCTTAAAATATGTATTACCTATAATTTAAACCCCTTTCAATACAAAGTTCAACCCAAAGGGCTCCCTTATCATTTACACCTGGCACCCCAAACTTACCTACCAAAACCCTCTCAAAAGTTCTCCTACTTTAGCATTCAAGTCCCCTACCCAATTACTCTCTCACTTGGTTCAAAGGCTCCTATACATTCACTTAACATCTCCCAAATCTCTCTCTCTCCTCTGCATTCCTTTTCTTCTCCAGGGGCAAAACACGCTTATTATGACCCACTTCTCGCATCCAACCTTTACTTTAATCCACATAATTCTTGAATTTACACATTCATATTCTCTTTTCCCCCTTCCATAACTGATCATTTAAACATTACTGCTACCCCTTCCTTTGCTCTAACTCTCTCAAAATACTCCAGATTTAATCCCATTTATTTCCCCCCACTGAAACTCTTCCTACCCCCTTCAGCTTTGGTTTCGCTTAGGGCCAGGACATCCAACTTCTTTTCATTCATAACATCAGCAATCATCTGTTTCTTGTCATCCGCACTACATCCACGCACATTTAAGCAACCCAGTTTTATAAAGTTTTTCTTCTTCTCTTTTTTAGTAATTGTATACAGGAGAAGGGGTTACTAGCCCATTGCTCCCGGCATTTTAGTCGCCTCATACGACACGCATGGCTTACGGAGGAAAGATTCTTTTCCACTTCCCCATGGACAATAGAAGAAATAAAAAGAACAAGAGCTATTTAGAAAAAGGAGAAAAACCTAGATGTATGTATATATATATATGCATGTGCGTGTCTGTGAAGTGTGACCAAAGTGTAAGTAGGAGTAGCAAGATATCCCTGTTATCTAGCGTGTTTATGAGACAGAAAAAAGAAACCAGCAATCCTACCATCATGCAAAACAGTTACAGGTTTTTGTTTCACAGTCATCTGGCAGGACGGTAGTACTTCCCTGGGTGGTTGCTGTCTACCAACCTACTACCTATAGTTTTAAATGTATAATTTATTAATAAGCCCACATCAGAGAAAACAGGTCTGTGCCATAGGTATGTGCAGTATAAATAAAATTGTTTTGCAGAGGGCATTGTGGGAACCAGTAAATGACATTTACATTTGTTCATTGTTTACATTAGTTTTATTGACCATTAAATATAAGTAAAATATGATACGAAAATATACATAAAGGTGTAAAACATATGATCCATAAAAATTTAGAACAAAAAAATTGAAAAAAAATAATCTTAAAACTTCCTTCATGCAGCAAGTACTCATGTTGCCATATGTGATTATTCACCTTCAAACCTTCATATCTCAGTAAGTAAAATCATATTTCACTCGGTTTTGTTTTATTTCACTTCGGAAATTGGGGAGAATTTTTTGGAAATGTAAAATGTTTTATTTTTTCAAAATTGCTGATACTTGAGGGCATGTTTATTGTAGACCTTTCAGCAGTTTAAGGGTTAAATTGGAAAATAATTAGGGAAAATGCACAAATATTGCATTATATGTAGTACATACACTGTGCAAGAATTTTTTCATGATTTTAATGTAAACCTTATCAAGTCATTAATTGCAATTAATTGCAAGTCATTAATTGTTTTAATGCAGTGCTATGAAAATAATTATCTGAAGCTAAATAGGTAAAACACTAGAGTATACAACATCCATTGATCAAATTTTTCAGCTAGAATAGATTACTTTTTCTTTTGTTTTGCTGTCCATAAAAAAATACAAATAATAGTGCATAAACCACGACATTGGTATGATCACCAAATAAAAATTATAACATAAAAAATCTTGTTAAATTTTTTTTACTGCTTTTTATTAATTAGTAGTGTGATACATGCTTCAACATAAGAGACTTGCTTCACTTAACTAAATTTAGAGGTAAGTCAAATATTAAATACTTTTGGTATTATTTGCTTATGAATTTTTTCCACTGCCTCCAGGTGAACGGACCTTGTGGGTAGCAGCAGAGAGCAAGAGCACAGAAATTGGGTCATAGCCTTGGTATTCTCCTCCTTGGTGCCCACAACCTTGCAGTCGCAAGTCAACAGGCTACATGAGTCCATACTCGCCAAGCCTAGCTAATGCTACCTCCAACTCGCTTTCCCATTCATCATCAACTTACCATCCTACATCCCTTACCAGGACACCACCCCCTCTGCCACCAGGGTATTCTCCTACTGCTAATCACAGTCTGTACCCTTCACAAGCACAAGAAACTTCAACACACTCGCCTGACTTGCAAGCATCACAGACTCTTTCAGCCACTTCTCCTCCAGATTACCATCCTACTTGGATCCCAAGGGCTCCAACCCCACCCAGATATTCTCCTACCTCTCCCACTTATAGTACTTTTGCACCAGTAGAATACACTCCATGTCCCCCATCTCACACTCATTCTTCCCCATCTGAATCCACTCCCCCTCCCATATATCGTCCTTCTTGGATTCCAAGACGGAATCAGACGAGATTGGAATATTGCCCTCAGTCACCCATTAATAACACACTTCTCTCAAGAGAAGAATATGTGCCAATTCAGCCATCACCTGAAGCATTGGCTTATAGTCCTACGTCTCCTCCACCTTATCATCCTACAAATATTGCTAGTGTGTCTCCAGCATTAGATTCAGATTCAGATTCAGATATAGAAATCTATTCACCAAAAAATGCATCCCCACAATTTGTACTATCTTCCTCCAGTAGTCTCTGCTCATCAGACTCTGAAGAATCATCCTTGACTTATACACCTCACCAGCCACATTATAGACCCACTTCACCTTTCATACAAATGTCACCAACTTATTCTCTAAATTCATCTTCCATACAAACTTATCATTCTTATGTTCCATCTGAATTATATTCCCCAGCAGGTATTGCTGATTCTCCTGTCACCAACCCCAACTTGACACCCTCTTACTCTCCAGGAAGCTCAATAGATGCTACCACATCTTTACCTTATTTTCCTACATGTGTGTCATATACACCCATTACTACAAGTAGCAATTCAAATTATGTTTCATCTGATTTTTCTTTACCTATTTCAATGTCACCATCCCAGTACTCTGTATCATCAGCATCTTATTCCCCATCATCTCCTGGTTATTCTTAGCTAATCTGCAGAGTAGCTTATTCCTTTAATCTTCCAAAATACTTTTTTTTTTTTTTAATTTTACATAACTGTGCTTAGCAGGTACAGTGTTTTCCAGCTTCAGGTCCTCCAGAATTAATCTGTTAAATATTCTTATGGCTCCAGATTGTACTTTCATTACTTATGTTATTGTTCAGAATAGAAGGAAAGTGCAGTGATTCTTTAATTAACTGTGTTTTAATAACACTGATTTTTTTATTTCTGTTATAAATATTCACAAAGGGAGCTAGACATTGTAGTCATTTTTTTTCCTATAATACAGTATCCATGAAAACTTAAGGTATAGTCTTGGTGTGTTTTCTGGTGAAGCATAATGTCTTGAAAAACTATGAAAAAGTTAAATTAATTTTCTTATTGAGGGATTCAATGTTGATGAAAACTAACTAAATATATGACTGAGCCAATGAGTCATAACATTTTAGTGTTTGAATAAGGTATATTTCAGGTCATTTTTATTACTCATATTTAAAAGTTTATTTTTCCATAATGAGTGCTTTATTTCTTGAATGAAAAGCATCATCACATTCTGTATGCTCAAGGAGGAATGTTTTATAAAATATGTTGAACTTTCCCCTGCCAATATAAGTTGTAAATCTTGCTGCCATGTAAATATATTTTTTCAATTTACAGGTTGACCATCACTAATCTGGCATCACCGGGACCTGTAGGGTGCCGGATTAGTGAGTTTTCCGGATTACAGTGGTTAGGTTAGAAGACATTTAACCCAGTGGCAATATTTACACATCAGTGATTTCGCCCTATTTTTGGCCCATTCCATTGTTCTAGTTGAATAAACTCGTAGCTATTTCGCTAATAATTCTTTTATTCTGTCGATTGAGTATAAGAAACCGCCTATTTACTCTTGAACATTCGGCAGAAATCGAAAATTTCAGCTACTTCGAGCTCAGTTTCAAGATACTTTCTGTCTTGAAACTCATCAAAATCATCTCTAATTCTGTAATATATTTTCCATTTTATGTAACGAGGCCAAAAAACTGAGAATACAACCATAAAAACTTTACGAAAATAAACTGCAAAGACGCTGTTTTACACCAGAAGCATTGTTGCAGTTTTTTCTCATGCACTGCATGCTGTAGGATTTTTTATATAGTGCACACAGACCTATTCACTCATATGTAGACCCAAATTTACTGGTCACAGCTTACCTGAGTGAGCTGAGCTCAGGCATCATACTAGGGGACCAACAGTGGCTTCAAAGCCACCTTATCCGTAATAGACAGTGTATGGTGTTTGTACTTTAAACAACAAAAAGCATTTCCTTTATTCATTGGAACCATGGCTAAGGCTAAAAGTGAGCAAGTTACAATAATAAATGGAAAACAATTGCAGCAAGTAGCACCACCAAACAGTAGCAGCAGGTTGATGCAGCGACCTCGGATATTTGAAATTAGCCAAAATTAGTGCTGGATTACTGATGGAACCGAATTAGTGATTGCTGGATTACTGATGGCCGACCTGTACCTTATTACTAACATCCACAAAGTAATTAAAAATATGATGTTTAAATGTAAATTTCTTCAGGAAATGGTTAGTACTGTTGTTTTCAAACCTGTAAAAAATTATCTAAAAGTATAGTTGATAATTAAAATATTTGAAAAAATATTTTATACATAATAGTCATTAAAATTGTATGACAGCAATATTTCATTACAGATTTATAATAGTTAATAATTGCAAAGGTAAAACTGGATGTTTACAAAATTCTAATGCCTTAAAAGTACAGTAGGACCCCGATATCTGCAGGGGTTACATTCCAAAGACCTTCCATAAATACTGAAACCACGGATAGTAGGAAACCCTTTACAGCCTCTCCTCACTTAACAACTGAATTCTGTTCCTTAGATCACGTCGATAAATGAATTCGTCTCTAAGTGAGGAGTACAATGGAGTGGGTTTGTGTCAACCATCTTATTGCTTCAATGTCACCCTTGCACCATTTATAACATTTCTGGTATATATTTAAATGTTTATACAGTAGTTTACTGTATATTGTAATAAACAGAATAGAGGAAATCAGCTCTAATATACATTATTTAGGTAAACGATTACATCACTGAGTGAGGAGAGGCTGTATATGTAAGTCCTTTACATACCTATTATAAGGTTTACTTGATAAATTATGCACAAAATGGATAATTATCACTTTTTCACTGATGGGAAGCACTTACAGCTTCTCTTAGGCTTTGAAGAACTGCCAGCTTCTGTACTTTTGCACTCTGAGGCCATTATTATGGAAAATTAAGAGGTATTTTTGGGCCAAAGTAAACCATGGATAACTGAAACTGCAGATACTGAATTAGTGGATATGGAGGTTCTACTGTATGACTTATTGCTACCCTAATGTCTTTATTATGCAAATACAGTGCATTATCTCTTATTTAAAATAATGCATAAGTGCATGCCAGAATTATTTTATGGAAAATAACAAACCCATTTAGATGCACCTCTTGGCTTTCTCTAGTACAGTGGACCCTCGACCAACGATATTAATCCGTTCCTGAGAGCTCATCGTTAATCAAAATTATCATTAGTAGAGTTAATTTTCCCCATAAGAAATAATGGAAATCAAATTAATCCGTGCAAGACACCCAAAAGTATTGAAAAAAAAAATTTTGCCACATGAAATATTAATTTTAATACACACAAACTGAAGAAGACATGTACAATTACATGACACTTACCTTTATTGAAGATCTGGTGATGATTGATGGGATGGGAGGAGGGAAGACTGGATGGTGATAGTGTTTAGAAGGAGAATCCCCTTCCATTAGGACTTGAGGTGTCAAGTCCTTTTCCGGGGTTATTTCCCTTCTTCTTTTAATGCCACTAGGACCAGGTTGAGAGTCACTGGACCTCTGTCGCACAACATATCTGTCCATAGAGGCCTGTACCTCCCGTTCCTTTATGACATTCCTAAAGTGTTTCACAACATTGTCAGTGTCACAATTAAACACTTGTTCAGGTTTCAATTCTTCACTGTATGTACTCCTTGAATTCCTGCACATATTTTTCTCTGAAGGAGGGGTGTTAATGTTGCAGTTTAAAAACTGTAGTGTAAAGCACCCTTCTGGCAAGACAGTGATGGAGTGAATGATGGTGAAAGTTTTTCTTTTTCGGGCCACCCTGCCTTGGTGGGAATTGGCCAGTGTGATAATAAAAATAAATAAAAAAAATTTTCAGCTGCTTTTTGGTCCAAACTGGCAGCCTCACCATGCCTTATCACACTATGTATGCCACTACGATTCTTAAATCTCTCAAACCAACCTTTGCTGGCCTTAAATTCACTCACATCACCACTAGTTGCAGGCATTTTTCTAATTAAATCCTCATGCAACTTCCTAGCCCTTTCACATATGATCGCTTGAGAGATGTTATTTCCTGCTATCTGTTTTTCGTTTATCGACACCAATAGCAGTCTCTCAACATCTTCTATCACTTGCGATCTCAGTTTCGAAAACATAGTTGCACCTTTGGCAAGAACAGCTTCCTTGATTGCCGTTTTCTTGGCCACAATAGTAGCGATGGTTGGTTGGGGTTTTCTGTACAACCTGGCCAGCTCGGAGACACACACTCCACTTTCATACTTAGCAATGATCTCTTTCTTCATATCCATAGTAATTCTCACCCTTTTTGCTGTAGGGTTGGCACTAGAAGCTTTCTTGGGGCCCATGGTGACTTATTTTGCAGGTGCAATCACTAAAAACGCTGTGATAATATGAAATGTTCCAATTGTATGTTTGGATGGGACCGTGGTGGCTGGCTGGCTTGTAAACACTGGCCACAAGGGGAAGCGTCTCAGACGGAATGAATCGTGTTGTTCGAGTTTTTTAGCGCTAGCCGAGGCAAAATTTTTGCGTTAAAATGTATCGCTAGTCGGATTTAACATTAGACGATGCCATCGTTGGTCAAGGGTTCACTGTATTATTAGTTGTCTTAGAGGAGGATTCCATACAGGTGCTGCATACTCAAGAATGGGTCACCCAAGTGAGTGTCTCATTTTTTTTATAATAGCCCATGCTGCTGATATTTTGTTTTTGTGCTTTAGGGAACAAAGTTGGGCTTATGGCTATTCCTAGGTCTTGTTCAGTTTATGAGTTAGTTATCCCATGACAGTACTATCTTCAGTAATTTTTTTTCGTCTCCTAGCTTTTTAATTGCGTTTATTGGTTTGATTTCCTGCAACAATTTGATTATTTATGAAGACTGTTAAGATTTTTGTCCTATTTTTTAGTATCTTCTTCCATTTATATTCTTAATGCATTGGCATTTACTGTTGACAGGGATATTATCTTTATTTTATTTTATTATCACACTGGCCGATTCCCACCAAGGCAGGGTGACCCGAAAAAGAAAAACTTTCACCATCATTCACTCCATCACTGTCTTGCCAGAAGGGTGCTTTACACTACAGTTTTTAAACTGCAACATTAACACCCCTCCTTCAGAGTGCAGGCACTGTACTTCCCATCTCCAGGACTCAAGTCCGGCCTGCCGGTTTCCCTGAACCCCTTCATAAATGTTACTTTGCTCACACTCCAACAGCACGTCAAGTATTAAAAACCATTCATCTCCATTCACTCCTATCAAACACGCTCACGCACGCCTGCTGGAAGTCCAAGCCCCTTGCACACAAAACCTCCTTTACCCCCTCCCTCCAACCTTTCCTAGGCCGACCCCTACCCCACCTTCCTTCCACTACAGACTGATACACTCTTGAAGTCATTCTGTTTCGCTCCATTCTCTCTACATGTCCGAATCACCTCAACAACCCTTCCTCAGCCCTCTGCACAACAGTTTTGGTAATCCCGCACCTCCTAACTTCCAAACTACGAATAGAGGTAAATTAATCTGAATTGTGATGTCAGCACACTACTGGCAAGACAGTGATTGAATGAGTGATGGTGAATATGTTTCCTCTTCTAGATCACCCTGCCTTAAGAGATGGCTGTTGAGGTAAAACAGTTTTGTTTTCTTTTTACTTTAGCAGTTGTCTTTCACCATGGCAAGTAACACAAAGAAGAAACACTACCACTATTATGCATTCAATCACTTTTGCCAGAAGTGTTCTGACTTCACAATTCAAATTACCTTTCTTCTGCAACATCCTGCCCTTCCCACTCCCAGGACTCCAGTCTAGGTAACCAGTTTTCCTGAATCCCTTCATAAATATTACCTTGCTCACCCTCCAACAACATGTCCACTAAAAGC